ACACTTTTTATAAAACCCCCCCCCCCCCCCCCCCATCCCACTCACACCTACACCCAATATATTTGCATTTAAAAGAGTATTTTGTGTTCAATGTTGTAAAACTATATTCATATTACGCAGCTATGAAAATTCCAACATGAAACATCGTGCAACTTCAGGTAACAGCACTCAGTTTTTGAAATATTTATTGATTTCTTTTAAGGTATTTTCAATATAATCTTTGTTTATACTTAATGTATTCAAAAGATCATTAAATTGATTTTCCATCGCTTTTTTTTCCAGTTTTTTATCGTCGAGGGCCATTTGTATATTATTGGATTGTTCTAACAAATACTTTTCGATTGAATCGAAATGCGAGCGGAACACTTTCTGTAATCTATTTTCTGTTTCATCGATTGCATACTGTTTTAATTTTTTAAAATTTTCTTTCAACGTGTCTACCGCAGTATGTTCTAATTGCTTCTTTGATAGTTGATTCATTTTTACTTGGCATTTGCCTTTAATCAACCATAAAAAATACCATAGCCTCCGGGATACCACTACTTGTGTTTCTGTAAGAGCGCTTGAAAAGTTGGTAATATTCAACAGTTTTGAAACACTTTCGAAGTGTATTACTTCGAAACCAAGCAATAATTTTAGATGCATGCCAATGCTGTCACAAATATCGTTGGTTGCCAATTGCAGGTGGTTTTGAAAAGCGAAACACATTCTATTTACTTTTTCATATATGCTCCAGTTTAATGCATGCATTAAACTTTCGCTGACGTCTTTGATGCTGTAGAAAAACGTTTCGAAAAATAAATCTGCATCGTCTTTTGTATTAAAATACAAGATATCTTTACCAATAAGTAATTTTTTCCAATGAGAACTGCTATGTTCTGTGGATTCATCATCGAGAATCTCCGTCACAACGTGCTTACTTCTACTTGCGGCTTCATCAAACGATTCATCTACAAATTTAATAATATCGCAGCGCCATTGATGGGTATTTTCTTCTGCCTTCTTTTGAATCGAATGGAGTTCTTGATGGACATATTCGAAGCGAGATAAAGTTTCGAGTAATGGTTTTTCACCAATGTCCAAACAAGATTTTCTGATATTTATCTTTTCATAAGACTTCCCTATGTAATAAATGCATTTCTGTAATGCTGTTGTTAAACATATCGGTATAATATGTTGACTCACTATACCTAATGTATTATGTAAAAAAGAATCATAATTCGATTTTTTCCACAATTCTTCAGCAATATTAGGAAGAAGATTGGCATTTATATATTTTGCAGCTTGTTCCCATGTTTGACCTAAAGCTTGCTGCATAAACATTCTGTAAGAATTCGTTTCTCTCATCAACCTTTCGTGTGTAACATCCGATTTCTTTCTAATCTCTTCATATTCTTGACGAAACGTATATGATATTAAAGCGTTCATTGCAGATACTCCATGAACATTAGCTAATGGTATGTTATATTTCATTGCTACTGCGGCCTCCGTTTCTTTAACTGGATTATGTTTACCTTCTATATACTGATCGATTTTATTAACTAATGCGTATAGACACGATGGGACATCCGTTTCTCTATATTCTTGTATCGTTTTGATATCTTTCATTAGTTCCACTTCGGCAGTGGAGTCTGAACCAATGAATTCAAGTGCAACTAATATTAATGCAGCTTTTTGTAGTTCTGAAATAACAATTTGCCTCAAGTGAGCAGTTAAATTACTATCATTCGGTCCTGGTGTATCAACAATTATGAATTCGCCTTGTGGGATCGAAGTTGAGTGACGCAGTGGTACTTTTAGACGAGGAATTCATGTAGAATTAATTGAACTTTCTATATTTAGCATAATTGATATACGTACTACGTCATTAATATATTTTAGACTATCAACAATTTTTGATTGCCCACACGTTACCAATTCTAAAGTTATATGTTTGTTTGCTGATATATGCTGCATCACTATCATTAAATCTTGTTCGTTTCGCAACCGAGTGCTTAAATTACAATCAGAACTTTTTAATTGTAATTTTCTACTGATCTCATCAATCGTACTTATCAGCTCTGACTTTAATATTAATTCTGGTTGTTCAGTATGTTGACTAAATAATATTTCTGTCGGCAATGTTGTCATAGCTGTATTTCTTGATGGTAACAAATCATAACCCATAATTCCATTCAATATTGTTGATTTACCAGCTTTCATAGTACCAATAATAGCCATACGTAGTTCCAACTTTTCAACAGATTTGATTTCATCTCGAAACAAATTTGGATATTGTGTTAATTCATTTAATGTAGACGATGAATGTAATGATTTAACATTCAATTGTTCAAATGTACCACTTAGATTATTTTCGACCAAACGAAGAGCATGTAACGTTTGATTATGGAGATTTTCAGCAACAGAAGGCGAAAGTATTATACCTGAAAAAGTATCAACAGCTGTTCTAACAGCAGTATTCATGTTTAAGTTGGTATACCAAGATGCTACAGCAACGAGATACAAATAGCCAAAATGCTAACCAGATTCTTTTATTCACAGATGTAAAGTTATAATCTGTCTGAAACAGAAGAGTAGAAAAGAAATGAGAATGGTATATGTGAGGGCAGGCCCGTAAGAGTTATTGTTATATTGTGCAAGGTTTTAACTGTCATATTTTGATAAAAATCCTACTTGTGATGTGAGTAATACTGACTTCAAAACCTCGTGTTTCTACATCTGAATCATAGTGTGTGTATATATAATACGTCTCATGTGGAGGGTGTGGGTGTTTGTAAAAGAGAAAATTATCACTCTTCTTGACATCGAAATATATTGTTTGTGATCACACTTTCTGTTATTACTATATCATCAAGGACTCATCGTCAATTTCTCTGTACAATTCTATAGTATTCTCTTTCATTATCATTTCTATGGGAGCCTGTACTCTGTTTCTTTCTTTATTTCCATAAAAAATGTCTTTAAAGACCGTTGTTTAGTCCCGTCGAAAGCTTTAATATACTTTTTATTGTGAAAAAGTTGAGAATCGCTGATGATAAGAATGAAGAATAGAGAAGCCACGTTCTTTTATCTTGTTTTTTGGACACACAAACAACAACAACAACAGGCATGTTTCATTCACACCTCTTTCAATGCTTTATTTTATGAGTTTTGTGTCCTTTAAAGATCTCTTTTTCTGTTTCACTAGAGCACTTCTCAGTTTTACTCGCATCAAATATTCCCTATTTATTTCTCTTTTGTTGCTGAGTTCAATGTCTCTTGAGAAATCGTGTGATGATTTTCAAGTAGGTTTACTCAGACAAGATCGATTCCAACAGTCATTCCCTGATTTTCCCAGTGAGTAAGACATTGATGATACTCCCATTCTCTTGACGTAGGTTTCAATTCTGTTCTAGGGAATCATTTTATAACAGATGGCTAGAGAGCTTACAAGTACATAGTCATTTTTACACTGAAATCCTGATTAGTACACAACATGTCATTTTCTTTCAAATAAAACACCGAAAAATCGCATTCAAGACAAATTAGATCGTCATTATTTACTTTTTGAGCTGTTGAACAATTTATAAAATAAGTGTTATACTTCAAGATCGTTCTTAGCATACTCAAATTTTTTTTAAAGTTGAAATCTTGTCGTATATAGATGTGATATGAACGATGCGTGGTGGAGAGAAAGAATACGTGACACAAGAGTGTTCAGAATCAAGCAGAATGGTGACGTTTCACATTGTGTATCGTTGAAATTTGATATTTTTATCGACACCTTTTACTTTCGATTTTCTGTCATTCATTTGATGGATAAGCAGATATTACCATGCTATTTGGTAGTTCTATGCAAGCAGGCACGAGAATCAAAAGTGTAATCAGAATGAGACTGAAAACTGAAAAAATAAAAAGTATTCTTTTATACTAATTTGGAAATACGATAGAACAAAATAAAGCTTGTTTTGAATACTCAGCAAAATATGATGGTATAAAGTTTTGACCGCCAACATGGATTAGTGCTATCATTATAGAATAGTTCTATTTGCTACAATGTTGTGAACTATACTGCCAGTAGTCTAACAGTCATGTATTCACAAGAGACAGAAGTTGAATTCATTTTTTCCTATGTGTACCCAGTATGTACAAACATGCCAGAGATAATCAGCGAACGACCGCACTTTGGCATGATACTGACTGTATCGACAAATCGATATAACGTTTACTTTATTCTAGAACATGACTGAACGATTCCTTCTTCGTCGCGCTCTTGAAACCGATAATGTTGCACTCTCTCAACTTAGCCAACAGACTATTCTTGAAACGTACGTCGAAGATTTTTCCATTCCCTATCGTAAGCATGACATCGAATCCTATTTTCGTTCATCGAAGAGTCCAGAATGGTTTGCCAGCAAAATTGTCGATCCACTTCAAGCAACATGGGTGGTAGAAGAAAAGATCAGTGATGAACTCGTCGCTTTTGCCATTGCTGGTCCATGTAAATTGTCTCATTCTGATGTATGCTCGGGAGAAGATGGTGACCTCCAGTTCTTATATGTTCGACGTGATCGACGATCTCATGGACTTGGTCAACAACTGATGAATACGGCTTTATTGTGGTTGGAAGAACGATTTAAGGGGCGCCCTATTTGGCTTGGTGTATGGTCGGGCAATTTGAAGGCACAAAAATTTTATATGCACTATGGTTTTAGTCAAGTTGGCGATTACTATTTTAATGTAGGAGAATGGAAGTTGCATACATTCATTATGCGACGAGAACATCATTCGCCGTAGTTTCTTCTTTGTCCGATCTCATTTGCATTCGATGTTAGATTTATATTCAACCGCTTATGGTCAAATTGTGTCTACTGTGATTTGATCTGCACGTTCATCTGACTTTATTACATCGCTCTTCATTGTTTCAATACTCATCCTCATATTTTTCTCTCACCTATGTAATCTTTCGTTGAATAAGATATCTTGAAGGTATCACATGTCGTTGTTTTTTGTCATATTCGTGCTTAAATTTTTGTTGTGTTTCCTCGATGTATTAGCTAGGGTGAGGTTCTTTTTTCATGTTTGCATTTTCATATGAGACGGATGAGTTTTCGGACGTAGTGTTAACCTAAGAAAGTGTTCATTTAAGATGTCGAATAAAGTCATTTGTATTTTTACGCTAAATATTCTTTTTATTACCGCCTTCGATCCTTCAGTGGAGAATGTTGTCAAAGCTCTTCGTTCCATATGCGATAAGAAATTTCTAGATGATCAGTGTCCGTATGCCATAGCCTACGATATTGCTACACAATTGATCAGTCAATTGTATGATCAAGATGGAGGGTATAGTTTATGGCCGAATAAATTATCAAAGATCTGGTGGTAGAGTGGCGTACACTCTAAAAAAAATGGTGTTTCACGGAACTTAAAAAGGCTCTTTACCAAACCTAAAAAGGTTCTTCACCTGGATACAATCTAAGAACCTTTTTTGGTTTCGTAAAAAAGTAGATTTAGTAGAAAACCATTTATGAGTAAACACATTTAAGTTTCTGTACCCGACCAGACAAAATTTTCAAAAACACGTTTAAACGCACGATCGGGAATCGCAACTATCATCCATTCACATTCATGAAAAAAACGCAAGAAGTGTCATTTTTTGGACAAAAAGAGCACTTTTGAAGTATGAAAACGGTGAAAAGGCGGAAAATCGGGCGTTTAAACGTTCGTTGATTTTAGAATTGAAAAATTAATCATTTAAACGCTCAATTTTCCACCTTTTCACCGTTTTCATACTTCAAAAGTGCTCTTTTTGTCCAAAAAATGACACTTCTTGCGTTTTTTTCATGAATGTGAATGGATGATAGTCGCGGTTCCCGATCGTGCGTTTAAACGTGTTTTTGAAAATTTTTGTCTGCTCGGGTAATGGTGTCGCATCCATGGTTACGATCAATGCATAAATCTAAACAAAAAAATAAAAAAATACGTTATCATTTAACAAAGTGAAACTTACTTTAAATCCTATAACGTTGTTACCATGAATGTATCAATCTAAGAGAAAATAAATTTAATAATGTATTTGCATTTAATAAAATCAAACTTACTTTAAATCGTATCTTGGGGTTGCCACGAATGTATAAAACTAAAAGGATATACGGTAAATTATGTATTCTCATCTAGGAAAGTGAAACTTACTTTAAATTGTGCACCGCAAGAACGAAGAATGTATAAATCTAAAAGAAAATAAATCAAATAATGTATTTTTATTTAATATAGTGAAATTACTTGAAATTGTGATCTGAATAAATGCTGAAGTCCAAAATAAATAATTTCATTTTTATTGAATTAATTAAAACGTATTCTAAATGGTGTTTCTCAAGAAATCTATGAATGTTGAACAAAACGAGGAAAGAAATTATTTTCATTGAGTTAAGTTAAATTCACTTAAAATCATATATCTGAAATAATTGCTGAGCCTAAAGTGGAACAAATAAGTAAATGTTTTTTTTTGTTAATAGAAAATAATACTTGTTTTAATTTTTGTGTCTTTATATATTGGTGAATCAACGACATTTAAATAAGTTGTTGTCGTGTAATAGAATGAGAAATTTTTTCAATTGCATTTCCAAATGTACACCTAAAGTGAAATTGAGATAAATAGAAAAAACTTTGTATTTTTTAAACGAACTTTAAATTCTATTACTCTTTGGATGTATTGAATCTGAATGACAAGAAAGGAGTAAATTGGTTCTATTTAATAAGCTGAAAAGTTACTTTCAATCACAGATTTTCATGAATATAGGAATCTAAAATAAAATAAATGTAAAACTTTATTTCTTTTTTAAATTGAATGAATCCTACCTTGAATGATATATCTCGATGCATGCATAAATGTAAGACATATGGAAAAATATTTTCTTAATAAGAATTACCTTAAGAGTCATTATTAGAAAAGATGAATTTCTCCTCAGGTTTTAACGCGAATGTAAATGTTTAGACAAAAGTATAATATTAATACTAAAAGACATAGATAGAGAATACAGTAATGCATGTAGACGGGGAGATATTGAAAACAAATGTAGTTCATGAAACAGGCTTGAGTCTATTCGAGCTCGTTTTACAAGAAGTCTTGCCGAGTTTTTTGTTGTTTTTCTTATAGATGTGGATGAAGATTGACGTTATTCACATTTTCTTTTTATATGATAGCAGAAGCTAGTCTTTGCTGACGAAATTTTAATTTTCCCCTAATTCGTTTCTTTTCTTTAGTTCATTTGTGAGAGGTATAAATATCTTGCTTGTTGTGTAATGTTTTTATCTCTACATAATTTGCGCTGATAACCGACGATGCACTGATTAGGACTCACATGTATGAAGTATTTTTAATTATAAAAAAAGCTGAAGTCAGTTCTGAGTGGTCACTGATAATCAATACAAAAGCAAAGTAATTTTGAGAAGAAATAGAACTAAATATTCTATTGTGCAATCTCAGCGGATAATATTAAAACTAAATAGAGTTATGCAAAGTTCTACTAGTGAATTGAGGAAACAATCGATTCTTTGGCGATGTATTACCCATTTTGCATAAAATGTGCTAAACACTTTGCTGGTGTACGGAACCATTAGTGGTTTCGTAGAGAACGTGAAAAACCTTTTAAGTATGCTAGTATCTATCAGAAGTTTTGTAAGATACATACAAAACCATCAACGGTTCCGTATAAAATATGCAACACTTATAGAGAGCCTATGAGCCAATGAATAGGTTTGGTAAGAAGCGTACGAAACCTTAACTACTTTACGGAACCACCTTGCGTTTTATATACGGAGGACAAATCCTTCAAATGCTCTACGAAACTATTCATAGTTTTGTATAAACAATACAAAACTTTCTTTGCCCCATTAAACCATGAATGATTTCGTAGGCATAATACAAAAACACTCAAGGTTCGGTGTGTGTTCTAAAAAACCATGTATGCTTTTACGAAACTCGCATAAGGTTTTGTTGGAAGTTTTCGAAATCCTTCCAAATCTACTGAACTTAAAATAGTTTTACTTGAAAGAAACAGAACGATTTTCATTCTGCTGAACCTAAAATCGTTCGGTATACAAATGCTGAACTCTTAAGGTTCAGTAGAGTACCATTTTTTTAGAGCATAGTATTCATTGTTATAATAGTGCAGCATACAATAATCGAAACCGTGCTTTTTATTGTACCCATCAGCATCGTCAGTCGCTGTCTCTCTCTGTCTCTCTATGTCTCTCTCTGTCTCTCTCTGCCTCTCTCTGTCTCTCTCTGCCCCTCTCTGCCCCTCTCTCTGCTTCTCTCTCTCTCTTACTGTATGCCTGACGAAACACTATTTTCTTCTATGCTTCTCTCTTTAAAGATAGATATGGATATATCTCTTTATATTGTCGCCGCGCATGTATGAAGAGTCAATCAACAGGAAATAAGTAGATCGAGCACATCACGAAACACTTTCACAATGTGATCGCGATTACAATACTTTAGACAAGCTCGTGTAGTGTAAAAAGGAAGCGTTGAATAATAAAAACGCATTTTAGTTTATGAGCATTGTCCTACGTCCATCAAACAACATTTTTCCTGCTCAAGTATTTTACAGAATTTACGAAAATACAACGTAATGGTAGGATTGATAAGGTATATAAATTCTTGATAAGTACATAATTATGTGCCTCAACGAAAATCAACGTTTCCTACTCGACTCTTGTTTTTTACAGTGTACGCATCTGATTGGTTCATTTTCTCTCGTACGATGAATCGAATTAAAATGAACAACGATTCTCATATTTCGTGACAGCACTGCTGTATATAATCTAAAGAGAACCCACTTACAATTACAATGTTATCCAAGGTTGATGATTACAGCTACAAAACGTTTGTACACCGAACCAACAAAATATCACAACTTCCTACCCAAAGAAATTAAAAGGAACCGTAGCGGTATTTCATCGGAAGCTAGACTCTAAAAAAAATGCGTACCCTAGTGTAACGGAAAAATATTTAGGTCGCGTAAATATTCTTCAAATAGCTATCGAGGTATATAGAATCGCGTATATATCCTGATAGGATGATGGACAACAAAGTGTGGATCAGTATCAGCTATATATATTAGCCACTGTGTGTATAATATTAACAACAATTCCATACAATAAGTTTATTCTTGCCCAAAATGAGTTCTGTGTGTTGTCTTTCAATACAACCGAATACAATCGTACGTATTACAAAGCACAACTTTCTTCTAACTTGAATGGTTTAGAAGTGAACTCGACTCAATTGCCCAACTGTAACGAAAAAGAGAAGAAGTTTAACTCTACCGTTATACGCGGCATTGATGTTAGTTGAGCTACTTCATTCTAAATCGTTATGACAAATGGAGAGGCATAGCTTAGTGTTTTACTACACGATGTTTATTCAACTATACTCTACATCCAAATGTATCCATCTAATACAAAACACACGCTTATATACCCTACCAAGAAAGAAGAGAACGGAGAGAGAATAAAATACACAGAGACAAAAGTTATTGAGAGAGAATGGGATACGGAGAAAGAGAAAGTTATCTAGAGAGAAAAGATACACAGAAAGATTACGCACTGTTCAGTGGACGATTATGTGTTACGTCACTGCAGTATGTTCATCATCTCTATGACTTACACGTGGACGCCCGGCGATTCATATAACCCCTATCTAATATAGTCCTTTACGCGGACGTACTTCTTGGCACATACAGCTTTTATATCTAACTAAAACCTCGCTAAAACCCGAAACTAGTACATGATCATTTTGTGAATGTTTTTTCTTTTGAACTATTTTGTATTTTGTACTTAGTATTAAACAATTTCTCAATCAGCCCATTAAATAGGCGAAAGGAAAAATACTATTTAAAACAAATGTCACTATAATACAAGAATTTGTCCAAAACACATGATTATACACATTCAAAGTTTTTTTTTCGTCTAAAGGCAATAGCAAAATTAAGAGATTTTTGGAAATTTTCTACTGTCTTCGATAAAATATAGGAAAAATACGAATTTTCATTAAAATATAGGACAAAAATAGGAGGTTTTTGAAAATAGAGGAAATATAGGTCGAATCGCCGCCCAGTATTTATCTGTACCGGAACTAATCAAATTTAAAACAGTTAATGATATTGCTTATGGGTTTCTATTATCCATCTAAAAATGATGATTATAAAATTCGACCAACAACAAGCAAACATCCACCATTGCTTGTTTGTAGTCATGGCGGTTTAACATCAGTAACAACAAGTACATTTACTCTTCGTAAGCAATACTAGACATCACGTGGTTTTGCACTACTTGATGTTAATTATCATGGTTCAACAGGTTATGGACGTAAATTTCGTCATGATTTAAAAGAAAATTGGGAAATATATAATGTTCAAGATTGTATAGTTGGTGATGAGCATCTAGTTTAGCAAAACAAAAGTGAATAATAATCATTTAACAATTGACGAAGGTTCAACTGGTGGTTATACAGCATTATGTGCATTAACAATATATGATTTTTTTTCCAGCTGATACATCACATTATGGTATTATTGATCTTGAATTACTTGCACATGATATACGTACATAGATTTGAATCACATTATTTAGATTGATTAATTGAAGAACGTCCAGCTAAAAAAAGATATTTATTATCAACGTTCACCAATAAATCATGTTAAGAATTTATCAAAACTAATTAGTGTTTTTTTCATGGTATAGAAGATAAAATTGATTGTTTTACCAAGTCAAGCTAAATTAATGATGAATGCATTATGTGAAAAACATTTACCAGTGGCATATGTTTCAACAACATGGTTTTCGTAAAGCACAGAATATTCAAAAAAGTTTAGATAGTTTTATTTTAATTTTAATTTTTTAAATATTTCCTTTTCACAGCTGATCATATTGAATCTATTCCGATTGAAAATTTATCTGATTATCGAGCTTACCTTTTCTTTAAGATTTTTTAATTTTTACATTTTTATCAAAATAAAAACATGTCGAGGTAAACGAGAATTAATTTATATAAATTCGATGTTTTCTTTATTATTAATAAAGTGATAATGAAAATCAAAAATCACCTAATCGTTTACGTTCACATTCACGTTCAAGAAGTCCAGTTCGTCTTTCACCATCACATAATAATCAACAGTTATCAACATCAAGAGATTATCATCGATCGACATCTAGAAATAATAATGAACATGATTTTCATGCTAGAAAAAATAATCATTATCGATCAAGTTATTCAAATCCTAATAACACAAATGATCATCGGAATACCGATTATGATCAATTTAATCAAACAATTAATTTATATTCAGATCGAGAACTTGGATTAAAATATCGGTAAAAAATTTACTTCAAATTTTTATTTTGTTTATCTCTAGAGATTTTTTTTTGTAGACGGGAAAAAACAATTCATGTTTCAAATATTCCTTATGATATGACATGGATTGCATTAAAAGATTTATTTCGTACTGAAGGTTTGACTGATTTAAAGAAAAAAAAAATTTGTTTTTTGGATCTTTTGTTTTTTACAGTTGGTCAAGTTATATATATTGAAGTATTTGAACAAGATGGAAAATCACTTGGTTGTGGGTAAGATTAAATGAAGATATAAAGTTCAAAAATAGAACTTTGTTTGATTTAGCTCTGTCGAATTTCGAACTGTTAAGAAGCAAAACATGCTGTAGAAAAAATGCATCAATTTGAATATGATGGGTGAAAATTAGCGGTTAAATTCGTAAGAAAAAGATTTCTATGGAAAAAGATTATTTTTGTTATTATATCTAGGATGAAGAAGGTTATCAAACACGTCAAGCTAAATATCAAACAGTTGAAGGACGTCTATCTCAAAAGAATAACATGCTTCATCATCATTATAATCTATCAAATCAATTTGGTAATACAAGTGAAAATACCAATAGCGTATACCGTTCATTTCAGAGACGTGCACAGGACAAGATTTTTTGTCCTGTCCTTACCTGTCCTGCTGGCTACTTTTGTCCTGGCGGACGTCAGGGCAGGACAAAAATCGAAGCCTTATCCTGTCCTATTTTGTCCTGTTGGTAATCTTCGTCCTGGCGGGCGGGAGGATAGGGCAAAAATCGAATTCTCATCCTGTCCTGAAGGATAGGGCAGGGCAGGACAGGACACCAGAACAGCAGGACCGCCCTGTCCTGTGCACGTCTCTGGTTCATTTCAAATAACAGATCTTAATTGTATTGGTATATCACTTTCGAATTATTCATCTATTGCTGATATTCCATCATATGTCTTACAAAGATTATGTATTAAAGAACCTATTTCGGATAAATAAAAATTTGTTTATAACTTCAAACGATATCAGAGATTTTTAAGATAGATATCGAGAAGATCAAACGGTACAGATTAATGAAATAACTTCTTTCTAATTTGCAAAGTCATTCGATTGTATATAACGAAGTATCGATCAACATAACTAATCCAGATAAAGAAACTAATGATTAGTCATAAATCGAAGAACGAAAAGAACCGATCAACATTTTGTTTCATTAATATAGAATGATCGAGATGTTCACTTTTTCATATACATGTGAATGATTGATATATTTCTTTTAGACTGGATTGAATGTACGAATATGAATAAAGCTAAACGAAAATTAAATTCTAATAAACGAATAAAAATTTTTCAATGTGATCAAAAAAAGTACCCAGGTGAAAGAAAACGGCCCGTAAACAGCCTGAAACGGCATAAAAGCGATGTAAAACGTTAAAAAACGGCGCCATTTTCCGTCAGCTCGGAAAACGAAGAGAATAGTGTTAAAAGCGATGACCGTTTTCTAGCAAAAAAACGGCCCGTAAAACGAGCTGACAGATTACGGCGAAATAGGGTGAAAATTAATGCCGTTTTATGTCGTTTTATAGCCGTTTCAGGCCGTTTCCGATGGCCTTTCAGGCGGCAGGATGATCCTCCTGGGTAAGTGATATAAAAATAAGTCTAATGTCTCTCTATTAAATTTCTATATAGATCATCAATAAACACACTTGACAATGTATCGAATGAATTATCTTATGAAATATTTGGTTATTTGGATGGTTGTCAAATTTATGAATCATTTTCAAATCTTAATTACCGATTTTACCAACTGCTTAATTCTTCATGTCTTCTACTCAAAATGATAGATTATTTTACAATTAAAGATGATTGCTTTGTGAATAATTGGAACGAAATTATATCATACAATAGTAAACAAATATTTTCTCTTACATTCTATACATCATCACGTATCAAACAATTTTTCTCATCATCAGCCCAGGTGAAAGAAAACGGCCCGTAAACGGCCTGAAACGGCATAAAAACGGTGTAAAACGTTAAAAAACGGCGCCGTTTTCCGTCAGCTCGGAAAACGAAGAGAATAGTGTTAAAAGCGATGGCCGTTTTCTAGCAAAAAAACGGCCCGTAAAACGAGCTGACGGATTACGGCGAAATAGAGTGAAAATGAATGCCGTTTTATAGCCGTTTCAGGCCATTTCCGATGGCCTTTCAGATGGCAGGATGATCCTCCTGGGCTGTTTATCGACGGTAAACAATGTCAAAACGGTATATTTACGGCNGGCCGTTTTCTAGCAAAAAAACGGCCCGTAAAACGAGCTGACGGATTACGGCGAAATAGGGTGAAAATTAATGCCGTTTTATGTCGTTTTATAGCCGTTTCAGGCCGTTTCCGATGGCCTTTCAGGCGGCAGGATGATCCTCCTGGGCAATTATTGAATCATCATCTCTCATTAATCTTCAAGCACTTTTTCTTCACAATGTACAATCAGATATACTTATATCAGTTCTTATCAAACTATCATCTTTACCACGGCTTAAATCATTAACTATCAACATGTTCGATATATCGATTGATTTAGCTAATATTTATCAATTAGTATTCAAATTGTCTATATTAACATATTACAAATTGTCAATACATGCTACAAATTTATTTATATCATTACCAATTGCTACAAATCAACAACAACAAAGTGCAATTGAATCGCTTATTATTGATCATCGATGTTCATTTGATGAACTTTCTGCTATTATTTCTTTTACATTGCAACTACGTCGTTTAAAAATAACACATGGTTTTAATCATCCTTTAAATAAAGAATTAATTCCATCAATAATGTTAGAAAATTTAACCTATCTCTCATCAGATATTTATGGTGTAGAATTTGATGGTTTTAAAACATTTATTCGAAAAATGAATTCGAAATTAAAAACATTAAATGTAATTATTCAATGTGAGGATATGATGTATCTTGATGCTTATCGATGGAAGCAATTACTTTTACATTATTATCCTCAATTGGAAAAATTCTATTTCACATATTATGATCGTATAGATAATAATAACCATCAATATCAAATATATTCTTGCGGATTAAATCCATTTTCTACATTGTTTTGGATTCAACGAAAATGGATATTTAAAGCAAAAATTGAAGGAACATCGCCGGTCGAAGAAAACGATCAGTAAACGGTCGTATACGATACAAATACGGCCCATTTTACGTGCCGTATTTTCTCCGTATAACAGGGGCAGTAATACGACCGTGTGTTCTATAGAATACGATAATATTACGCCGGCTTTACGAGGTTTTACGGCTGATATACGGTGTCCGCGTATGGCCGTAATACTGCCCCTGTTAAAACGCCTTGATACAGCTTAAAACGGCCGTTTACGGTAATGTTACACCGGTTTATGGTGGTCCGTTTTGAGCGACCTGGGATACGTACTATTAGGGGTGATATCTTCACCCTTCTCTTTATTGAGAAAAACGATAACTACCTAATAATAAACAAACCAAACGAAACGAGAAAACCAACACACATCTCTCTCTCTCCTCCCCCGAGAGGACAACAAGAATATATATGTATATATATATA